CCCCTGGAACAGAAGTAACAGTTAATTGTTAGCCACCATGAGGGTGCTGGGAACCAAACCTGGGTCCACAGTGCCTACAGATGCTAGAAGAGGGCACCAGATCCCCTGGAACAGGAGTAACAGTTAATTGTTAGCCACCATGAGGGTGCTGGGAACCAAACCTGGGTCCACAGTGCCTACAGATGCTAGAAGAGGGCACCAGATCCCCTGGAACAGGAGTAACAGTTAATTGTTAGCCACCATGAGGGTGCTGGGAACCAAACCTGGGTCCACAGTGCCTACAGATGCTAGAAGAGGGCACCAGATCCCCTGGAACAGGAGTAACAGTTAATTGTTAGCCACCATGAGGGTGCTGGGAACCAAACCTGGGTCCACAGTGCCTACAGATGCTAGAAGAGGGCACCAGATCCCCTGGAACAGGAGTAACAGTTAATTGTTAGCCACCATGAGGGTGCTGGGAACCAAACCTGGGTCCTCTGCAAGAACAGCCAATGCTCTTAAGAACTGAGCCATCTTCCTAACCCAAAACTTGCTTTTATTTTTATATGTGTATGTGGTATGTGCACATGTATGCAGGTTCTCTCAGAAGCCAGAAGAGGGCATCAGATCCCCTGGAACTGGAATTACCTGTGATTTTGAACCACCTGACAATGATCATGGGAACCAAACTCTAGAAGAGTGATAGTGCTTTTAGCTGAGTCATCTCTCCAGCTCTACTTGACTGTGTGTGTGTGTGTGTGTGTGTGTGTGTGTGTGTGTGCCACAGAACATATGGAGGTCAGAGGACAGCTTTCAGGAGTCAGTTCTCTCCCTTCACCATAGGTTCTGGGGATCAAACACAGGTCATCAGGCTTGTACCTCAAAAACTTTTACCCCCTGAGCCATCTCACCATTCCCTGAGCCATGTCACTGGCCCCTGTTTCTGCAATTTTAAGCAGCCCTTCTTCCCATAAATCTCAGGTAGACCTTGTGCATCTTGCCCACATCTCCATGTAAACTTATCTTGCTTATCATTTATGGGGTGTTTCTCCCCAGAAGCTATACACTCCTCAGAGCAGGGACACATCTGTCTTATTTACTACCACTGGGTAGTAACTATACCCAGTACATAGTAGGTGCCTAAGAAAGCGGTCAAAGAAAAGAATGAGTGTTCACAAAGGCATTCCACACCAAAATCTAGCAGTGTAGAAGGGCAGCTGCAGTAGAAAAATTTGTCTGTGATTAAGGAACATATTTAAGAACTAAAATTGGGGGGGGTGCTGGAGAGATGGCTCAGTGGTTAAGAGCTCTTGCTGCTCTTACAGAAGACCCGAGTTTGGGTCTAAGCACCCAAATGGGAGGGCTTACAACCATGACTTCAGAGGATCTGACTCCTTCTCTGGCCTCTGAAAGCACTCATGCAAGGAGAGAGAGAGAGAGAGAGAGAAACATAAAATTTTAAAACCATCTTTTTTTTTTTTTTTTTTGGTCTTTTTGAGACAGGGTCTCCTTGTAGCCCCAGCTTTCCTGGAACTCACTATGTAGACCAGGCTGGCCTTGAACTCACAGAGATCCACATGCCTCTGCCTCCTGAGTGGTGGGATTAAAGGCGTGCGCCACCACACCTGGCTAAAATAATCTTTTGAAAAAGAAATAAATTAACATTTAAGGCATGCAATACAGTCCTACGTGGTTAGAATGGAAAGACAACACTGACAACGTTCGGCGTCATGTGGATGAGTCCAAGGTCACCTGTCTCTAGGAGTTTCCTCTACTACTACACCACGGAGGAGGAGTATTTATTTAGACTCCGTGTAACCCAGGGCCTGTGACTACTATAGACCAGGGAGGCAAAAATGGCTCCTGTCAGCCAGACCAGGTTTCCAGCATATTTTGTTTGGCTTCTGCTGGAGTTTGCGTCTGGACTGTGTCCTGAAGATAGCCTACTGGGAAGTGGTGGAAACTTTAACGTGTGGGTCCTGACCACTGGCATCTCCTTGAAGGAGAATGTGGAACTCCCAGCCCCTCCTCTTTTCCTGTTTCATGTTCTGTCCTGGCTGTAAGGTGTGTGGTTTTGCTATTGATGTGCTTGCACCACACTGTGCTGCTTCACCATGCAAAGGAGGCAACTGGCTCTGGACTGAAAACCTCCCTGAAACCATGAGCCAAAATTACCTTCCAGTTCTGTAAATTGTTTTCTCAGCTGTTACACAATGGAGAGCTGACAAATACAGATCCTTAATGTTCTGGAAAACCTTTCACAATGACTGTACCTAAAAAAAGATTTCAAGGGCTGGAGAGATGGCTCAGCAGTTAAGAACACTGGTTGTTCTTGCAGAAGACTCAGGCTTGAATCCCAGCACCCACATGGCAGCTAACAACTGTCCATAACTCTAGTTCCAGGGGATCCGACAGACTCTTCTGTCCTCCGCAGGCATTGCACGATGTGGGTGCACTTACCTACACACAGGCAATGCACACATACACATAAAATAAAAATAAATTTAAAAAAAGATTTCAAAGGAAATCTGTATTTCTGACTCTTGTGGGAAATCACAAGCTTGGGAGCAGTCACACACTCGTCTCCTGAGGCTTCCGTCAGTCACGGAAAGGGAAGTGCTAATACTCAATGAATACCCACTATGCAAAAAAAAAAAAAAAGTCCCATGAAGCTAAGAGCCTTCTTCTGTAAGTTTATAAATGTCCCCAAGAGACCTGGAGGTACAGCATAGTTTCAGGACTCCCCAAGAGCAGCGGAGATAACATCCTCCACTCCAGGCTGCCTCGTGCCAGCTTGTTTTGATCCCGTTGGTCCCCTCCTGTTCTGCCCCCCGGGGTCATTGAAGAACCATCTCCTCATCTGTTATCCTCTCTAGGATCTGCCTAGAGCTGGTTATTTCATTATCTCCAGGCAGTGTAGACTTTCATTATCTCCAGGCAGTATAGACTTTGAAGAAATTTTGAAAGCTGAGATGAAGAATTTAGATGAAATTCAGTAGGCAACAAAAAGATGATTTGATTTTAGATGTAAGATCATTCACATCCATCATTCTAAACAGAAATAAAATATAAGGGGTTTTGAGACAGGATCTCCTCTAGCCAAGACTGGCCTCAAACTCAATATGTAGCCAAGTCTGACCTTGAACTCCTGATCCTGCTGTTTCCACTTCCTGGTATTGGGATTGCAGGCAGGAGTCACCATACCTAACTTAGAGTTCGAATTCTTAAAGGACATCTGTAACTACTTCCATTCAAGTTCAAAAGGGAATGGAAGAAAGGAGGGGGATCTTACCCAGTCACTTACTAAGTCAGGTACTTATGACATACACTATTTTGTCCTTGTCAGGCCACCAGAGAATACAGACCAGACCCTGCCCTCTGATAACACTACTATATCCAGAAAACCCTTAAGATACAATTTACATGTTCAAAGGCAAAGAGGATGGCCTGGGCTGTGGATCAGTTAGTAGAGTGATTGTCTAGCATTCGTAAAGCTCTGGGCTTGAGCCCCAGCACCACATACACCAGGAGTGGTGGGGCTCACTGTGATCCCAGCTTCACTTGGGCGGTTGAAGCAGCAGGATTAGAAGTTCAAAGTTGGGTCAGGCATTGTGGTACATGCCTTTATTCCCAGCACTTGGGAGGCAAAGGCAGGCAGATCTCTGTGAGTTCAAGGCTAGCCTGGTCTACATAGTGAGTTCCAGGCCAGCTGGGGCTACTGGGAGACCCTGTCTCAAAATGACAAAAAGAAAAAAAAGTTCAAAGTCATCCCTGGCTACACAGTTTGAGGCCAGTCTAGGTCACGAGACCCAGGTTCAAAAATACATATGTACATACATTCATTCATAAAAGCAAGGAGGAGCCAATTGAGATATGTCAGAAATTCATGAGGAGTCTTAAGTTCATGGTGCCAGACTTGTAGGAAAAGACACTTGGGGAATGGCACACAACAAAAAGTGCTTGAACAGTACTTTCATTAAGTCAGTGCTGCCTGCTCTCACCACTGGGTGACCTTCAAAGAAGCCTTCAACATCCTTCTGGTTAATTAGGACTTTGGACCTTGAAGGGACCCCTCTTCTGCTGTTAGCATCCTGTCCTCTGCACTCTGCCACTTATGGGGCGTCAAAAACAGGGGATGCTGGTGCTCCTAATCCCAGCCTGGCTCACATTTAGGCTAGAAATGGATGGCAGTCCTGAGCAGATGGCTCCTCTCAGTTTCTGCTTGATCTGGTGGGGCAATTTGGTGAAGAACAAGGAGAGGGTATATGTACAGCACCTGACTCTGTCCTAGTAAACGGGAGTCAGAGGGTTGTAGCTGCAGGGCTGCTCCACCCTTTGTTCAAGATTCACCTAACACGCAGAACATTGAGAGAATCTAGTTTTGAACACCAGACCCTTCTCACTCTGAGGGTGCCATCACACAGCCATGGTGTGCAGCAGGAGAGTAGGACGGAGATGGAGGCGTCAGGATTACCTTCTGAGGATGCAGCAGCGGTAGAGTGCTGGCCCAGCATACACAAGGCTGGATTTGATTCCTCAGTACCACAAAAGATTAGCATATGAAAGAAATCAATGGCAGAGAAAAAGACTGGAGTCCCCTCCTCATCTGGGCCCCTATATAATAGATCATGCACAGAAAAATTGAAGGCTACACAGACGTCCCAATCTGCCCTGCCTGGGGCCTTCGAGCCTTTGCCCTTTCCCAACTCTGGCCTACTTCTGCCATCGGAAGTGCTTTCTTCCTTGATAAGCTGACTTTTCTTCTCCTGTTACTATGCACAGGTCTCTGTCCAATTCTTTGTACGGGGACATGGGAACCTGGCAATCCAAACAGGTGCCTCCCTCAGGATCCCAGTTATTCCGATAACATGTCGACCTCAGACCCAGGCCAGGTAGGTGAGAGGGCAGCTCTCGCATTCCAGTTAGCTCTGGTATTTCCCAGTTGCCTGAGCTGGTCCGAGTTCCCTTCCCTACATTCTGGTCCTGCAGCCTCATGTCTCAAGAGAGCCAGTTGGAGGTTCCATGATTGCCCAGATGGCACAGAGGAGGTTTGGCAAGGGCACTGGTGGGTAATTTGTGTGGTCTACCTGCCACCCATGGGGATCCTTGTTGGAGCATCTCTGGAAGTGATGATACTCCAACCACATGATCCCTATCATGGAGGGCCCATCTGTACCCCCAAGGCGGTCTGCTTGCTTCCCCACTGTGTTCAAAAGTTCTATAGATCAGGGCCTTAGGATGGCCCTGAGGTCTCATGTGGGGTTGTTTGAAGCACATCTGACAAAATCGTCCTGCAGAAGACGGGGTGTGCTTGGGGGAGCTGGGGATTGTCAGAACTGCAGTCCCTTTTGTGAAGTTGGACGTAACAGGACCATGGCACCAGGTACAGCATGATCGAATGTCTGCTCCCCATTCCGTACAGAGTTGATTGGGGAGGCATAGACCTCTCCGGCCATGATGAACTAGAAATATTTATTATACAACCAAAATGCACGTAGATTTCCCACGTGCCACCTTCCTCACCTTTTTTCAGCTCCGTGTGTTGCCAGGAAGGACAAGTGCCATCACCCCAGGGCCAATTAAGGCACAACTCAACGGACAATCACATGGCTACGGATGGTGGTAGAAGTCCTCTCACTGCTCTGTGGTGAGGGTGCAGTGCTGGGGCCTCTGGGCAGCAGTCTGTCTTCCTCTGGGCTGGAACACGGTTTCATTTTATGAATGTGGGGGTTTTACGATCTCTATCATTGAGAGAACCCCCAAAGCTCCTCATTACAGGAAACTCAGAAGGGAGTTGAGTTCTGCAGATCACAAATGATTTGCTTCCTCTGACTCCCCAGGGCCTCAAGAAGAAAGAAAGGAGATTAGTTTCCCTATTGTAGGTAAAGGGCACACACCTCTCTTGTGAGAAAATGTTCAAGGTCAAGTCTGTAGCGGGCTGGGACCTCTGTAGACCTGTGCTCACTAAAGAGGCTGGCCATGTCCTTTCTAAATATTCTCTGCTTCACTTTTTACTCTTATCAAAGGACCAGGAGAGAGATGTGGAGCACAGATCCTAATTTGCAGTAGACCTAACTAATCCTCTGATTACTTGGAATATATATTTTTGGAGTTAGTTGGAATGACAAAAGATGTTGGAGACTCAACATCTGACACAAGGGGTGGAGCCCTGAGAAGGGTGCTGGCTCGTGTTCAGCTCTGTGTGCGTTACTCCTTTTGTTGTGACAAAATACCTGACAAAACTAGAGAGGTTTGTTTCGGCTCACGGTTTGGGAGATACAGTTCCTCATGGGGGCAGAGGAAGGCGTGGTGGTAGAGTATGAGGTTACTGGTCAGGTTGCATCTGCAGTCAGGAAGCACAGTTTAGAAAGCTGGTGCTTGGGGGATACAGTTCCTCATGGGGGCAGAGGAAGGCGTGGTGGTAGAGTATGAGGCTACTGGTCAGGTTGCATCTGCAGTCAGGAAGCACAGTTTAGAAAGCTGGTGCTCAGCTCACTGCTTCCTTTTGGTCCAGTCTGGGATCCTGGTTCCTGGGATCTACCACCATTATTCAGGGTTGGTCTCCAGAAACATTTCTGTAGACATATTCAGAGGTGAGTTTCCATGGTGATTCTAACTCTAATAAGGATGGCAATGGAAATTAACCATCACAGGTCCAGTCTGAGTACTTTGGATCAGGGTTCTCAATCCCCTAGACCTTTTTGGGATCAGAACACACCTTTCCAGCCTCTGAGGATGGTTTGATGCCAGGTGCCATTGTGGTCCATGTTATCATTACATCTACAGCTGTGCTTGAAGGAGGTATCAGGATGTCCTGGCCGGTACCTCAAATTCTTGTTATAAAAATCTCTCCTGCTATTCTAGTCAGAGATTTAGGCATCCATGAACATAGTGATTAGATTCTGATACTAGCTGAGATCTTCCCATTTGTGAAATAAAATAAGGCAAAGATGCCATGATGGTTTTTCTGTCTGGGTAACATGAAGCATCTGCTCAGAAGCAAACATCAATATGGCCAGTCTTCGGCTCTGGAGTAAATGTAAGGATCTGTCCAGAACGCCCTAGCTTGCCTTCTACTGGCTTCTAATGGCCAGAGGGGCCTTGCACATAGTGTGAGTCTGTTGCCTTCACTCCGCTGTACTGGGCGAAGAAGAAGGTGGGGATAAACGAGCAGGAATCTCTTTGTTTTTCCATTTGTGTCTTCTTAGTCCACAGGATTCAGTGGTGAAGTCTAATACCAATTTAATATAGTAGGTTATCAAGAATCCCTCTACCAATATCTGCCATGTCCTCATCTCTCACTCCAGAGATTTCTCTCCAGTATGTTGAGTGATACAGCTTTTGAAAACTTCCAGAAATGAGTCAAAAAATGATTCTTTCAGTTAACTTAGTGGCTGTGATGGCAAATCTTGATCATTAATTTGATTGCTTGAGAAGCACCTAGGAGACTGGTAAGGCATCTTCTTGAGTGTATCTGAGGACATTTGCAGGAGGATTAACTAGGTAGGAAGGACCTCTGTGAAACTGCTCAGCACCATCCCACAGGATAGAGGCCAGGGTACAGTGAAAAGGAGGGGAGTGGAATATTATTAGCATGCTCTCTTCCTCTTCTTCCTCTTCCTCTTCCTCTTCCTCATCCTCCCTCCTTCCTTCCCTCCCTCCCCCCTCTCTGTCCCCCTTCCTGGCCACATGATGAGCTGTTACACCACACCCTCTCACCCAGGATAGACTTTGACCTCTGAAACTGTGAGCTAAAATAAATCTTTCCTCTCTTAAAATTGTTTCTCTCAAGTATTTGCCACATTGATGAATAGCTAACACTGTGGCTGTGGTACACCGTGGTAAGATTTCCTGCATCTGTTACCTCAGGGCCTAGCTCACGTCAGACTTGGCCAGAGAGTGTTGTAGGTCATCCCAGCCAAAGTCATCACATGTCAGCCATGCAGTTGTACCTCAGCATCCATAGGGGGCTGCTTCCAGAAGCATCTGCAGATATGAAACTCTATAGGTGCTAAATCTCTTATATAAAGTGGTGTGGTATCTGCATATAACCTCTACACAGGCTCCTATATATTTTAACTCACCTTTAGATCACCTTTAATTCTTAATATAAGGCAGATCTAGTTAACTGTAAATAGGGATTACTCTGCAATTTCTATGAAGCAATGACAAGGAAAAAGTCTGTACGTGTTTAGTACGGACACAACTTACAATTTTTCTTTTAAATTATTTATTTTTATTTTCTGTGTGTGGGGGTTTTGCTTGCATGTATGTAGGTGTACGACTTGTAAGCACTGTCCACAGAGGCTAGAAGAGAGAGTTGGATCCCCTGGAACGGGAGTTAAAGATGATTTTTAGCTGCCATGTGGGTGCTGGGAACTGGATCCAGGTCCTCTGCAAGAGCAGCCAATGCTCTCAACCAATGAGCTGTCTCTCCAACCCCTGTAGGTACATACTTTTAATTGAAAAAATTAAAAATTAAAAAATTTTAAAGTTTTTACTTTTATGTGTGTATGTGCACATGAGTGCAGGTACCTGTGGAGGTCAGAAGAGGGTGTAGGATCCCCTGGAATTGATATGGGTGCTGGGAACTGAACCTGGGTACTCCAGAAGTACAGTATGCATTCTTCACCACTGAGCCATCTCTCCAGTCCCCAGACACAGTTGTTAACACATATTTTCCGTTTCTGGGTGGCTGCTCTGGGGTGTAGGAGTACAGATGGGGAGACCCACTTGTATCTAAAGGACTAGCACTGGAGCCTCTCTATTGTCCATCTCTAATAATACCTCAATCTTCCTTTATTTTTCATTCTTTTGAAGAACCTTGACCGGGTATTTTGTACGATGTCTTTCTACTTGGGGATCACTAATGTTTTTGTAATTAGCTGTCATTGTGTCTTTGGGGGAAGAGGTCCATAGAGGTGAATCTGAGAATTATCTTCCTCAGGGCTCCTTTAATGTCTCGATTCCTCAGGCTGTAGATGAAGGGATTGAGCATGGGTGTCACCACTGTGAAGATGACAGTGGCCACCGTGTCCTGTACTGAGTAGGTGGATGACGGGTGCATATAGATGCCCAGGATGGCCCCATAGAAGAGGGAGACCACAGTGAGGTGAGACCCACATGTGGACAAGGCTTTCTTCATACCCCGGGAAGATTGTAACTTCAGAACATTAGAGAAGATGTAAATGTAGGAAACAACAATACATGTGAATGGTGTCAGAAATATCACCCCACCCACAGTGAAGACCATCAAGTCATTGATAAAGGTGTCAGAACAAGAGAGCTTCAGGATGGGGTAGGGGTCACAGAAGAAGTGGCGCACAGCATTCTGGGAACAAAAGGTGAGTCGAACCATGAGGACAGTGTGCAAGAGAGCATGCAGGTTGGTAATGACCCAGGATATGGACACCAGAAGGACACAGAGTCTGGGCCTCATGATCATGGTGTAGTGGAGAGGGTGACAAATGGCAACATAGCGGTCATAGGCCATCACGCTCAGGAGGAAGCCATCCATGTTGCTGAAGGTGATGAAGAAATAGATCTGGACCATACACTCTGTGTAAGAGATGGACTTACTTCCCATGACATGATTCACCAGCATCTTGGGGACTATGACTGATGAGGCGCTAATGTCAACAGTTGAGAGGTTGGCCAAGAAGAAGTACATGGGTGAGTGGAGATGAGCGTCACAGCCAATGGCCAGGATGATGATGAGGTTCCCAAGGATGGTGACCATGAACATCCCCAAGAACAGCCCAAAGAGAACCTCTTCCTGGTCTGACTGCCCAGTGAGTCCCAGGAGGAGGAATTCCATGACTGTCGTCTGATTGACGCCATCCATGCCTGTGGAGAATAGTTTCATTATGCCACCAGGTCATTTTTACATTTGAGTAAAAAGAGTTTACAGCTCAGAGTGATTCAATGATTTGTTGGGAATTAACAAAAACTGAATTATTGTTTGTGTAATTTTATATCAAAGTCTGGTTAATTTCAACAGGCTTTATTTATGAATGGCTGTAGCTGTGTAAACTATTTTTATTGGCTTTGTGCCATAAGTTGGGTACTTTCTTCTTCAATATTAGACTTAATTTAATAATTGAGAATTCACCTTATGGATCAAGAATTGATGATCGGAGCAGTCATAATTTAGTAAAGTATGTAAGGGGAGTGGGAACTCAAGACAATTTACTATGATTTCCTTTTTCTTCTATAAATATGTACAAGCACATACAGATCCACACCTGTGTATGTCTATGCTTTTAAAGTTTTTGACTTATTTATTTTTATTTTATGTGTATGAGTGTATTGCCTGCATGAATGTAAGTGTACTTGTGCCAGGCAATGCCCAAGGAGGCCAGAAGAGGGCATTAGATCCCTTAGAACTGGAGTTACAGATAGTTGTTAGCCGCCATGTGCATGATGGGAATTGAACCTGGGTCCTCTGGAAGAGCAACCAGTGCTCTTAACTTCTGGACCATCTCTCAAGTTCTCTATATGTTTTTAAATTTTGTATTTATTTTTATGTGTATGAATGTTTGACCTGCATGTATGTAAGTGTACCTCACATGTGGAATGCCCACAGAGATCAGAAGAGGGCATCAGATCCCCTGGAACTGGAGTTGTTAGCCACCATGTGGGTGCTGGGAACCAAACCCAGGTTCTCTGCAAAAGCAGCCAGTGCTCTTAACCATTGACCCATCTCTCCAGCCCCTCTCTATATAATTTTGAGACAAGGTATCCCTATGGTGCCCCAGTTGGTCTTGATCTCCTGAGCTCAAGCAATCTTTCCATCTTAAGCTACTTAGTAGCCAAGACTACAAGTGTTCTCTACCCACCTGGCTGTCTTGATTCTGTTTTATATGGCTGCCATTTATAGGCACTTTAACCTCATGGTAAACTATTAAATGCCATCCTATAAGCCTACAGATTGTTTTTGTGGTCCTACTATTTTATCAGAATTTGGAAAATTCCCTTGCTCTGGGAGAGCTGCCTGGCAGTTTTCTCCAAGCATTTTATCTGCCAGGAAGCTGCTGTCATCCTAGCTCCCAGCTGTGGGTCTGCTGCTCTGAGCCTCGGCACAAGTTGCTGTGTACAGCATTCTGTATGCAAAGAAAAGCAGAGCTCTGCTGTATGAGCTATTTAAGATTCATTTTATTTTTAAAATTTTGTGTATGTGTGTACATCTGTGTGCCTGTATGGGGATATGTGCACATGAGTGTAGGTGCCTGGGGAGATCTGAAGAGGGAGAATGGGATCCCCTAGAGCCGGAGTTCCAGGCAGTCGTGAGCCTCCTGACATGGATACTTGGAACTGACCTCAAGTCCTCATCAAGAGTAGTGCCTTCCCTGAACTGCTGAGTCATCTCTCTAGCCCCTAAATTATTTTTCTCTGGAGGAAAGAGCTTCGCTGATGGCAAAGAGAAAATTTATGCAGTGCATGTAAAAGATGATCCTAGGAGAACTGAACAGGCAGGTAAAATGTTACCACTCCAGTATCCCTGGGACAGTTCCTGATGCTTAAATGGGAAAGGAGGGATGTTTTCCTCAGAGACCAGTGGATTGGAAGCAAAAAAGGAAAGAGGCAGCAGGTGAAGAATACAGGGAGCCCTCGGTGAGGACTGGCTAAGGATGTTTGTATTATGGCGACAGTGAGGTGCCTATATCACTCTGGGAATGAAGTTAGTGAAAATCAGGGTACAAAGGCAGGGATGGGAGCTCATCCTACCAGGATTAACTTCTAGAACCAAGGCAGACAGATCTGAATGAGGAACAACTAGAAGATACTACTAATTGGTCTTGGGTAAAGAGGAGCATAGAAGTGGAGAGGTGGGGAAGTCGTGGGTGGGTTTGACCCACAAGGGAGTGTGTGGACTGCTGCATGTTACTGTTCTGGTCTTCAAGACAGATATTTCCTGGGAGACAGAGGGAAAGTGGGATGTCAAGACAGATGTGTTGGGTTTGTTCCCACTTCATGGTTCAAACTTTGATGTGTTGAGCTTCACAGGGAGCCCACTATGTCAAGATTCTGCCTGCTGTGGCTCCTTTCTCATCACGCAACCAGCCCTCTTCTGGACTTTTATTCACCTTCTTTGAAAGCTGAGAAGGGGAGTGCTTTACCTCAGGCCTTTGGCTTGAGTCTTCCGTTTGCTTGACTTGAGTGTATACATGTCTGCTTCTGGGCATTAATCCCTTAGGAGTCATAGCATGTGTCACGGTCTGCAATGCCTGAAGTGTCCTCACTGAGTGATGGTGACCCTGGACTTCCAAGGGATGTTTGCTTTCTGGGCTCTGATCCAAGCCAGAATCCTCTGTAGGACTCAGAATGGCATAGCTGCCGCTTAAGTGGGAAACACATTTCTTCTGTGATCACAAACCACAGTGGGTGGAAATGGAGAAACAAGCACCAGGTGGCGATTTGGATGCCTAGTGAAGAAGACTCTTCTTTATTGTGAGGACATGTCTGTCTGTCTGTCTGTCTGTCTGTCTGTCTGTGTTCTCTCTTTTTCCCATCCCCTCTGTTTATTGGCTGTCCACCTCTGGCCAAGCTTCTCAGTAAACTGGGGTCACTGTTCATAGACAAGTCATTTCCTTCTGTTCTCTCCTAACCTTTGGCCTTGAAGAGATATTTGCTATGTTCTCTGTGGGCAGCACATCGTGACAGGAAAAGGCCCAAGTGTCAACCAAGACGCTGTTTCCTCCTCTGAACCTGACTCGATACCAAGAGACCTAGTGGGCTTGTTTTACCCCACGTCTCCATGTGTTCATGTCCCTATGAACCTGTCTGCTGCTGAGGTGGGGTGCCCCCACTGTCTCCCCAGCCCCTCTTACCTGCTGTTCTCTGCTGCTGTCAGGGCTTTCACAGAATCTCCGCTGATTCTGTGCTTGGCTCTGGATTTGGGGCAATTCACAGATGGGATTATGGGACACTTCCTCACTGGAGAACATTTAGAAAGACTCATGGCTCTCTATGGTTAAGCTTGGGTGATAAGGAGCAAATAAACAGACCCTCCATCCCTGGAGATGGGGTTTCCATGAAGACAACTGCCATGTTGGGGCGCCCCTAGGGTCTGTTCCTCAGAGGTCCCCGTGAGGGACATGTGGCAAGTGCTCACTGTTTGCGTTCTGCCTGAACACTGAAAATAGCATTAGAAAGTTCTTGTGGAACACGTGTACAAACATGGTTGCCTTGGTTCCCGTCCAGTAGTGTGGGCTTTAAAAAATGACAGTTGAGTATGATAGCGTACGGTATGATAGTATATAGGACTGTTATGATAGTGTATGATACTCCAAACCAGTTGAAGACTGTATGGAAAATGTTGCAAGCATGCAACAGCGAGGGAGAGTTCTCAAAAGTGGAAGTAGAGTTTTACTAAATTTACACTTTTACTAAATGATTTTACTGAGGTATGCCTCAAAATGTAACCACCTTTCCAGCCCCAAATAGTGATAATGACACTATTATCACTGGATAATTTTTCAATTTATCATCATTTAATAGGAGTGTGTTAATTCTTTTTATTTTCTTTTGATTTATTTTATTTATCTCATTGCAGTGGTGGGGTGAACCCAGGGCTTCACTATGCCAGGCCAGGGCTTGCTTGTGAGCTGTGTCCCCAGCTCTGTTTGTAGTCTTTAGTCCATGTTGATACTGATTAAATTGATTGGTCTGCACGTCCCTTCCTTGTAAAGTAGTTCTCAGATTTTCAAAAAAAATTTAATTTTTTAAAATGAATAATTTATTGAGAATTTCATACATTCATATAAGGTGTTTTGATCCAATCCATGCCCACTCCCTCCCCTCCAACTCCTCCCATATCTCCCTATCACTTTTCTGATAACTTCATGTACTCTTTCTTCTTCTTTGATTTATTTATTTTTTTATGGGGCTTTTGGCTACTCTAACATTCCCCCTTCTGAAGAGGTAACCCTAAAATCTTTTAAGGATTAGATAAAAGCTCCCAAATATTTTTGACATTTTTGGCCTTTGGAACGTAGTAGGTTGCTAAGAGGCGGAAGGACATTGTGAGTTTTAGCCAAGAAACTGGCTACATTTCTTTGGGGTCTTATTACCCTAACTGCCTAGCCAATTCCTCCTATTCTTATCACACCAGCCCCTGAAGAGGATACCAAAATTGCCAATAGGGAATCGGGATGCAGACCGCTCTGGTTTCTTCCATGCTGAACAAGGATGCAGGATGAGGCAATTGGAGTACCCCTTCAGTGGGTCTATCTAAAAGACTCCCAAATTGCCTAACTCTTAACTGTAGGGAGGAAAGAAGTTCCTTGACTGGTGTCTAGGAGATGTGAAGAAGTAAAGGCAAGGGTAGTTAGCATTACAAGTTCTAGACAGGGAACCAGAAAAAAGTCCAAACGGCAAATTTCAAATGTTCATATCAGAGTCGATTGGAATTTCTTGACGAGCTTCCAAAAGCATCCCTCTATTGGGTTCCTCCTAATTTTTATTTTGTCTTCCAATGCTGGACTCAAGAGTGATGGACTCAGGATTTGTTTACAGGCACTTTGATAGCTGTTGGAGTGGCTAGAATCCATGTCAGTTCCCTCAAAAAGGCTTCTAGATAAGGGGAGAAAATAAATTTAGCCATCATTTTAGAACAATAGTGGCTAATCTCCCTTAGCTACAGGTGGGCACTATAATATTGCAGACCAAGATTGGAAGTCTTAGCAACACTTTCTGATTAGAAGAAACAAAATCATCAATGAGAAATAATTGTCTGAATAACATTTTATATAGACTTAAGTCTAATGTCTGGGAAATGCAATCCCTTGAACTCTTAAATATATTGATGACTTTACTCTTTGGTTATACTTTCCTTTTAGGTGT